TCATAAAAAAGGAGATAATTTTTTTTTTTTTTAAAGTACCTACTTAAAGCCAGGTGTGGTGGCACATGCCTTTAATCCCAGCACTCAGTAGACAAGGCAGGCCTGGTCTACATAGTAAGTTCTAGGCCAACTGGGGCTACAGGGAGACCCTGTCTCAAAAAGACAAAATAAATAAATAAATAAATAATAAATAAATAAATAAATAAATAAATAAGTTTAAAACATTTTAAATGGCTGCAATTCTTCAAACTATTTATCTGGATTTTCTACCTTCTGGTGTGTAACTTAACCACTATAAGCTGGAAGCCTGTTAAACTGTTCTCATCATCCACAAAGAGAAAACTCCTCAGCTCCTCGGGGGCACTGAAGCTTCCCCATACCTTTACATGAAAGACCCTATTGGGCATATAGCATGAAGAAAAAGAATTTGAGGGCTGGAGAGATGTCACAGAGGCATGCATGCACACCCCACACACATACACACAAATAACTGTGTTTTAAAACTATTATTTAAAAAGTAATTCGAACATAAAGTAGCATACTTACTCTGTTTTCATCTTTAGTATTTCTTCAATAAGTTTACTCTATAATAAAAAAGAAAGTAAAAAGAAAAAAGATGGCTTACATTCTTTAATAACATTGCTTAAAAAAAAAAAAAAAGACTGAGAGGAACAAGTCCACTTTCTCTCATGTTAATAAAATCAAACCAATGCCCATTCCCACAATCCCAGCCATCCATGGAGGGCTACCACCTGATAAGCATCCCTGCACCATGCACTGAGGCAGCTGAACTGGCTTTTACGTGGAGAAAACTAGTAAGGATACTGAGCTGCAGTTACCATGGAAGCATGAAGACAGATATATTCTTTTTGTTGTTTTTTGGTTTGTGGCCAGAATCTGTCTCTGTAGCTCACACTGGCTTCAAACCCATGGTAATCTTGCTTCAGCCTCCCAAGTGCTGGGATTACGGGTATATGGCATCAAGAGATCTGTTCTTTCCTCTCATATCTTAATACTGATGGCAAATACCATGCTACTCATTGGAAATGCAGAAAAAACAAGAATTTCAATAGGAAAATAGTTTCTAAAATACATAACCATAAATGTTAATTATAAAAGAATTTCTTGTGTTAAAAAAAAGCCATACCTTAGCAAGTCTCTCTTTGATAATCTCTTCTTCGTGTTCATTCTTCAGCTGTTGACTGTCTGGATGCTTCTGATCACTGCATAGATTAGGGAGTGGACAGGGAAACACTGTCAAGTATTTTCAAACATTAATTTCAAATCTATTATATATAGCTATGATAAGAAAGGTTAACACTATAGTGACTAGTTATTACAGTTGGTAAGCGTGGTGAACATATGGGAAGAAGCAGGGCCCCTTCCCAGAACTTGGGATTGATTCTTCCCACTGCAAAAGCAAGGCCAGCAGCCCAGGGAAATCTAATCAAGGCTGGGTAGAAAGTAAGTGTAGAATTTCAGCTAACGGGTAATATGAAGATCAGTGTGAACAAAAGGGGCAGGGAGGGAGAAAAGGTAGGCCAGGGCCTGGTATGACTGTGATCAGCTGCAAGGGGGCTTCTATGAGGGTGGGAGGATTTCTTGAGTCTTAAGGTAGCCTGGTTAGGTTCTCTAAGTCAGCTAGCAATGTCTGATAACTACTCTGGTTTCACATGTATGTAGACACCAGGGACCCCTAAGCCCAGGAAGTGAATCTCTTCATAGAAAAGAAATGCTCCATTAAAAAAAGCAAGGGGACCACAGTCTGAATACCATGCACATCTCTGAAAGCCTACCCAGGTTGTGAAAATAAATTTAGTTCAGTGTGCCAGCGAGACCTTGCTCTTGTCTGCCTGAGGGCTGAAGGCTTCAATAGGAATCTCTGATGGGTGTGGGGGAAATGAAACTACAGAAGGCTTCTTTCCTCTAACATACCTGGCAGGCTAGATACAACTGGTAAAGAGACTCCAGTGTGGAAGACACCTGAGATCAAGAAATGGTGTGTTGCTTTTTTAAAAAAAATTTATTATTATTTTTATGTGTATGAGTGTTTTGCTTGCATGTATCTAAATGCAACCATGTCATGTAATGCCTCCGGAGGTCAGAAGAGTTGCATCACATCCCTTGGAACTGGAGTTATGGATGGTTGTTTGCTGACATGTAGATGCTGGGAACTATATCCAGTCCTCTGCAAGAGCAGACAGTGTTCTTAACCACAGAGCCATCTCTCCATCCCCAAGAAAAGGAGTGCTTCTTCTTTTTTTCAAAATTTGTTATTTATTATTTTTATTTATGTATATGAGTGTTATGCCTGCATATAAGTAAGTGCACCCATGTGGTACAATGCCTGCGGAGGACAGAAGAGGCTGTCGGATCCCCTGGAACTGGAGTTACGAACAGTTGTTAACTGCCATGTGGGTGCTAAGATTCAAACCTGGGTCTTCTGCAAGAACAGTGTTCTTAACTATTGAGCCATCTCTTCAGCCTCAAGGTGTGCTTCTTTTACACGAATTCAAAGCCAGCAAATTTTTTCTGTCAAGATCCAGACAGTAAATATTTTGGATTTTGGTAGTCATACCGTGTCATAGCTACTTAGTTTGGTAATGGGAGCATAAAACAGTCATAGCAACCTTTAAATGAAAGGAGGTAACTATGCACCAATAAAACTTTATTTACAAACTTGCTGTGGGGTAGATTTGGCTCCTGGGTTATAGTTCACCCTCCCCGCAACCCCTCACAAAGAAGTGAAATAAAGTACTTTAAAATGTGGTTTAATATATGATTTGAAGGGGCTGGAGACATGGTTCAGGGGTTAAAAGCACTGACTGCTCTTAACCAGGTTTGATTCCCAGCACCCATATGGCGGCTAAAAACCGTCCTTAACTCCAGTTCCAGGGGAATCCGAAGCCCTCTTCTGACCTCCACAGCATTGCACAACACGGGTGTACTCACATACATGCAGGCAATATACTTGTACACATAAAATAAAAATAATATTAAAAAGTAAATAAATGATTTGGAAAAGTTCTTTTAGCTCTCGATAAAAAACTGACAAGGTGTGAAGCATAGGGAAACCATCTGAGTAGACTGGACTACAGTTATCAGAACCACCTAGAGGGGAAAGCTGCTTATTAAAAACTCTTCATGTGAGGCTGGAGAGACGGCTTAGTGTTTAAGAGGGCTGACTGCTCTTGCAAAGGATCCAGGTTTGATTCCCAGCATCCACATGGTAGTCACCAACTGTCTGTAACTCCAGTTCTAGGGGATCCCATGCCCTTTTCTGACCTCATTGTATGACATGTGTGAACTTACACACATACACATAAAAGAAGATAAATTAAAATGAAATAAATAAAATAAAAACTCCTCAGTCCAGCCCTACTAAATAAGGTCTCTGATACACATTAAAATTTGAAGAGTCGTTTTCAAAGATACTGTCAACACAGCTGCCTTTCTACTTTGAAATCTCCATTGCCTCATGTGAGGTTTTTTGTTGTTTTTTTTTTTTTTTTTTTTTTTTTTTTGTCTTTTTGAGACAGGGTCTCCCTGTAGCCCCACCTGTCCCAGAATTCACTATGTAGACCAGGCTGGCCTCAAACTCACAGAGATCTGCCTGCCTCTGCCTCCCAAGTGCTGGGATTAAAGGCGTGCGCCACCACACCCGGCTTCATGTGAGTTTTATACAATGATTCTCAGGGTAATTTCTGCACAGGGCTACGGAGTTGGCAAGCATCTGTGTAAGACTCTCTGGGCAAAGCATAAACAGTAGACACCCACAATCTGGAGATTCATTAAGGGCCTGTACCCCAAAGAATTCCCTCTGGTTCAATGCTCTTCCCTACATTTGTTTGTTTTTTGTTTTGTTTGAGATAGGGTCTCATGGAGCCCAGGATGGCTGAATTTGATAGGTAGCTAAGGATGACTTTGAGCTTCTGATCCTCCTACCTCCACTTTCTGAGTTCTGGACTACAGGCAGGCAGGTAGGCAGGCAGGCATCACCACACCAGGATTATTAATAGATATTTGCTGACTCTAATTTTGCAGAAGGTTAATGTGAAACATCATAATTCTACTTTGTGTATTTAACAACTAACCTTATTGAACAATAAACTCACCAGCACCCTGAGACTTTACACTTTGTTTGGCTTTGTTTATGATACTGGAGATTGAGCACAGGGCCTCAGGTATGCTCAGCAAGACACTGAAGATGTCCTATCCCGCCCAGGAGGTACTTTCCCTGAACCACAAGTCAAGAAGCAGGGGAAGTGGTAGGAAACTTTCCCTTTTTCTGTAGGACTTATTGAACCTTATACCACTGACTTTATTTACTACTTAAAAAAAAAAAAATGCTAGTGCTCAGACTATAGCTCAATGGTAGTACACTTGACTGCTATGTGTGAGGCCCTAAATTCAATCCTAGTATTGGCTTAAAAAACAAACAAAAACAAAATAAAACATCAACAAACTAAACTTTTAAATAGAAGTAGTTTGATTCATGTATTTCACATCCCTTGTATTTATTCCAAAAGACTTACAACAACAGAGCTGGTAGGTGGCAAATGTCTTATCTTCCCTCTCTGGAAAAAGCCATATCCTCATTAGACTTGATTCACAATCAGCCATAGAAGCATTTCCCAGGCCAGTGGGGATGTCCTGTGCCTTGTCAAACCAACTTCCACCTCTTTTACTTAACTATGTGCAGGCAGACCAAGACCTAGATGGAAAACTTCTTCCCCTTCACCCTAGCTGGTAGCTCTTTCTTACCTATTGTCCTTTTGTCTTTTAATGTCATCCAGCTGACCTTGCAGGACCCAGTTTTTCTCTCTTAACTGCTGAGATTCCAGTCGCAGATTTTCCATTTCACATAACTGCTCCTGAGAACACACCAAACTATTTTTTCAGAAGACACATTATATAGGTGTTATTTTGCTTCTCAAGGTTGTGACCAACAGATGTTCCCTCCTACATTCTTACAAGGACAACACTACACTGCATATTGCTGATTAAATACATCTGGATTCTTCATGGGCATATGCAGCGTTTTAAAGTTTATCAGTATCACATAACTCACAAAAATTCCTTATCAGAAAAAAAAAGATAATAAGTCTTTCTTTGGTAAATGTTCTGAGCTATTTGGCTCTACTAAATAAATGCTAATTAAAGCAAGCATAATGCCTTAGCACACTCTCAAAATTCTTAATTGAAGCAGGGCGTAGTGGCACACACCTTTAATCCTAGCACTTGGGAGGCAGAAGCAGCTGGAGCTCTGTTGAGTTTGAGGCCAGCCTGGTCTACAGAGCAAGTTCCAGGCCAGCTGGGGCTACAGGGATACCCTGTCTCAAAAAGACCAAAAAAGCAAAAGAAAAAAATTACTTAATTGGATCTTCATTTTAGTCAAGTACAATAGCACCTCTCTGTAAACCTAGGACTCAGGAAGCTGAGGCAAGGAGGACCCTGAGTTCGAAGTGAACCTGGGCTATATAGCAAGATCTTGACTCAGTAAGGAAAAGGAAAGGCAGTTAGGGAGATGGCTTAGTAGGTAAAGCACCTGCCACAAATGTGGGGACCTGAGTTTGAATCCTCAAAACCCACTTAAAGCTGGGTGCAGTAACGTGCTGGTTATCTCAATGCTCCTGCAGCGAAATGGGCAGGGACAGGACAATTTCTAGAAGTTTTTGGACAAGCTGTTCTGGCATACACAGCAACCAACAACAAAGGTGACACCTGAGGTTGTCATTTGTCCTCTATACATGTGCTATGGCACATGTGTCTACACTCAGACAGTGAACAGACACAGAACTATATCTATATCACTGTGATATGAGTGCCTGCTCTGCAAGCATGTGGATCTGAATTTGAATCCCCAGCATGCATATGAAAAAGCTAGGCATGGTACCATCACTGTTGTGATAAAAATACCCTGATTGAAAGCAACTTTAAAGGGGGACGTTTATTTCAGCTAACAGTTCCAGATTACAGTCCATCATAGCAAGGAAGTCAGAGCAGCAGGTGGTTAAAGCAGGCAGTCACATCAAGAAACAGACAATGAATGCATGCTGCTTTCTTGATTTCTTCCTTGTGTTCAGTTTGATCTCTCCATCTGTACAGTTCAGGACTCCTTGCCTAGGGAGCTATGTTGTTCAAGGTGGCATAGGCTTTTCTACATCAATTAAGACAATCCCCCAAAGACATGCCTACAGGCAAATCCAATATAAATAATCCCTTGAGACTCTCTCTCCAGGTGATTCTAGGTTGTGGCAAGCTAACAATTAAAACTAAACATCACAATAGCACATGCCTATAATCCTAATGCTGAGAAGCCAGAGACAGAACAATCCCTGGGGCTCACTCAGAGACTTTGCCTCAAAAAATAAGGTGAAGAGTGACAGAGGAAGACATGTGATGTTGCCTTCTGCCTGACACAGGCATGTGCACATGTACCCACACATATACACATGAACAGGTACACATGCATACAACACGCACAAATTTAAAACTATGCTGGGCAAGCTGGGCATGGTGATGCATGCCTGTAGTCCCAGCACTTCAGAGGCAGAGGCAGGTGGCTCTCTCTGAGTTCAAGGCCAGCTGGGGCTACATGGCTATTAAATGTAGAAAGATCCAAAAGCCAGACAGCAGCATGAGATGACATCCAAAGAAACAGGTTTCTTCTTTACTACTGATGACAATGTAGTTGGTGTAAACCACAGATTTTTTGTGTATAAAACCCCATAGGACAGGGAAAGAATGTGAATAGACAGTTAAGTGTGTACTAAAAAGCTCTAAAAGGAAAGGAATCCACTGCTCAGGAAGCCTCCAGGGCCAGCAAACTAGGCATTAAGGGATGAGAAATAGGAGGAAGTCTTCTGTCTACTCTTCAGTTTAATTATGAACTTTGTATCCTCAGCAGACAGAATACAGCTGACATGTAAAAGAATTTTCCTGAAAAAACAAAACCAAAATAGGGAGGTACCTTTATTCTGAGGATTTCGGCATTCTTGACTTCTCGGTCTTCATTTAGCTTTGTTACAAGGTGCTGCAAGGATGTCTTAGAGGCTCTTCCATCCTCTATCTCTTGTTCTTGTGTTTCCAAGAGTTTTGCCAAATGTGCTTGGAAGTGAGGCGGTGTTTTAGGACTCTAAAACAAAAATCACATTTCATGCACATGCCAGATAAGGTGATGCTATGAAGATTTCATTTTGAGTCTATATCCTAACAGTTAAAATGTATTTTAAATGCATATGTCAAGCTCCTAGGGTACTATGTATTCTATTACACAAACCATTTAGCTTATTACTCTAATTTTTATCCAAGTAAAATAAGACTCGTGCCTTTACCAAGCAGAAAGCAGACAAAGGATGTTAGTGAAAAATCTTTTTCTTTAAAACAACAAAGGTACAGCTTTAGTTATTTGCATATTTTTCTCACTTGAAAAACAGTTGTTCCTTCTGAAATGCACTTGCTTTGAAAAGTACCTGGGGATACTCAGCAGCAGAATCCATCACATGCTCTAGTTGCCTCATTTTGAAGTTATATTCATTCTTCTTCTGTTCTACTTCCTCTTTCTTTTGGTTTAACTGGGTAAATTAAACAGATAAAAGATTATAGTTTAGAAAATAATACAGAACTCACAGAAAAGACAAGGCTCCCCATTGCTGATCACCAGAGAAATGCCACTCAAAATCAGTGATATGTCACTTATCTGTTAGGATAAAAGATGCACTAGTGAGGACATGAAAAGAGATCCTCTGCACATGGCTAGTGGGAATGTGAATCAGTATGGCCCTGTGGAAATGGAGGTTACCTGAACACTAACTACAACTCTCACATGACCAGCAATCACATTTATGAGTGTGCGAGAATAAGTGTATGCAAGTGTCTATGGAGGCTGACTGAAATCCACCTTATATACTGAGGCAGGGTTTCTCAGTTTACTGTTTCAGCTAGGCTGGATAGCCAGCTTGTTCAGAGGATTCGTCTCTGCCTCCCACATGCTGAGATTACATACAGGTGGGCTTTGCCCACTGAGCTATCTCCCCAGCTCCTGAAATAATATGTTGGTGAGGTATGCATCCCTATGTTAACCATAGCCTTGTTCAGGATTACCAAATTACAGAGCAAACCTAAGTATCCATCAACAGATGAATGGGTTAAAAAATGTGATGTTGGGGCTAGAGAGATGGCTCAGAGGTTAAGAGCACTGACGCTCTTGCAGAGGACCTGGGTTCGATTCCCAGCACCCACATGGTGGCTACGAACTGTCCTTAACTCCAGTTCCAGGGGAATCTGAAGCTCTCTTCTGACTTCCGCGACGTTGCATGACACGGGTGCACTGACATACATGCAGGCAATATACTCATACACATAAAATAAAAATAATAAAATTTTAAAAAATGTGATGTTAATATGAAACAAAGTGAACTCATTCATCTGCAGCAAGATGGGTGAACCTGAAATATTAATATAGTTGCGACAAGCCCGGTGCCGAAAGACAAAGACCACGTGATCTGGCTTACACGTGGAATCTAAAGTCTAGGTTAGAGAAGCTGAGGGCAAAAGAGTGGTTATTCGCGAGTAGGGAGCTGAAGGCCCCATAGGGAAGATGTTAGTCAAAGTCTACCATGTTTCAATTCCACAGGAAAAGCCAAGTTTTTGACATAGTGGTCAGAGTGTTTTGTCACAGCAATGAAGAAACAAACTTAAGACAGAAATTGGTACCAGAGAGTGGGATATTGCTGTGAAAGTGTTTGGAAGTTTGGGCTGGAAAAGCCATTGTGTGCTCAGAGTTTGTTGCAGTGGAGCTTGGAACAGTTATGTTGAAAGAGTTGTAGATGATGGAGGCCTGGCTTGTGAAGCTTCAAAGGGAAGCGGAGACTATCAGGGCTGTTCGTGTTAGATTTTGGA